TAGCCGTGGAGCCAGCCTAACTAGTAGTGCTAAGAGCTGCTAGAAGAAGAAGAATAAATCGGGTTGAAGCGCATTTGATGATATTTCAGTTTCTGAATTCTTAAAAGATTTTCTGGAACTTCCCACTTCCCACATGGCGATGTAAATTTGGATTTTCAAACGTTTAATTTAAACGAAAAATTAGAAGTAGGATAGATAACTTCCAAAAGGGCTTTTTCGGTAGCAGTAACAATTTCTTCGAATCGGTACGTTAGTATCAAATTGGTAGCCACTGAGAATCGAGAATGGCTCGAATTCGAGTATGTTGAGTTTCTATGCCTAACAGGACTTCAAAAAATAGTAAAAAATGCTAGATTCTAGATTAAATTTCTAGATAAATGCTAGATAAAATCTGTGTTTTTATCCTCGAGTGGTTCCCTGGCAAAATTTGTCTGGTTCAACAAACTAACAAAGGGGACCTAATCAACAGTGGTGAGCGTTCCTAGACAAAAAATTCTTCGGATATATCTTCTAAAATCGATCTTATATAACATTACACATTGAGAATCCTCTTTTTTTGCGAATTTACTAGAAACTGGTAACTGGTTTCATTTCATTTTCTATCCATTCGCCCAAATTTCAAATTTTTTTTACCACATTAATTGCTAAATGGACTAGTCATGCAGTTTGCTGGCATAATAATAGTTTTAGTTCTATTAGGGTAATATTTTAAGTCTCTTGCTTCAACCGTGATGCTTGTTGTCCACCGTGTATTATCGCAAAGTATCTCGCCGATAAAAATTTCACATTAATGAAACCAATTTAAGTAGAAATGATGCACCTTACTTACTATTTCAACCATACTTTCTGTTTCTTCTCTTCTTTTCTTCCAGATGATTTTATCTCATAAAAACAAGTTATAACTGTTCAAATACGAGATTGGAACTCACTTTAGTGCATCTCTTCTCTTCTTATAAAAAATCGACATTTTCTATATTTATTTATGAATTATGACACATGCAAATGATAAGGGAGATGATTTTCACCATTTGCTTTTATTTTTTATCATCCTTCAGTAAAAATTTCAAAGTTTTACAATTAACACTATGATTAACACTATTTATGATTTAAATGAATTTTCTATCGTGGTTTATTATTATTTTTTCTTTAAGGAGTCCTCACCATTATTGGTTAAACTCGCTCTACTGGCTTGTCACATCGGGCAATATGCCAGGGAATCCCTTGGCGATAGAAATACAGGTGAGTCGCCAGCATCACTCGAATTTTTCCTGCGGAAAATCGAACTTCAGCATCGGCGCTCCCAATTGAGCAACAACCCACTGAGCCATTCTATCTCCATCGTGATTTATTATAGGATAAACAAAAAATTAGTAAGGAACGTCGTGTATTTCCTCTCATTATATTTTGTTCTATGCAATAAGCTTCGAATGATATTTGTTTTTTGATTCGATAAATCCCTTAAGGCATTCCAGATCACTAATCACTTAGTTATTTACTTATCTATTCGTAGGACATTCCAGTATCTATATTCAAAATAAAATTTAATATTTGTCTAGAATACGGTAATTTCGCCTGATTTCTTAAAAATATTTTTTATCTTTTTAGATGTCTTTTATCATTTTTTAAATTTTCTTTATTCCAAATTTATTTGCTTGCTTTTTTCTCACCATGCATTGTAGACCTCTTTTTTTCAAATTTTCTTTCCTTTGCTAATTGTTCATAAATATTGCAGTTTTCCAATGATTCTGCCTCTGTCTCTGCTTTTCTAAAAATCTTTCTAAAACTCTTTAACTTGAAAAATTTTGTATACTTCTTTCCATAGCGATTGTGTTTTATATTACTATTATATTACTAGTACAGAAATTATTAAATAGAAGGGAAAAGCACTCTCAATTTTCGATTTTCAAATAACGAAGTTCTGACAATTTTTTTGCGTTATTACTATTAATATTGTTTTACATAATTCATAACTGCATGAGTACTTCGTTATTTTCAAATACATTACTCATATTATCAATTATTTTATCAGGAGAGAGTCCATTTGCCATTTAACGATAGTTTTGTTATCGTTCGGAGTTGCGTAAGTCCACAGCTTCTTTTCTTTTATAAGTTCACCTGTTGCAGTTTTTGCTGCTTTTCTACTGTATGGCTTTAAATTACTAGTTTTAGATCTATTTTTCCTTGAAAATTCAAGAATTTTAGGAAAACACTAAAAAACACTGAAAATTTAGCAATGCAAACAAAAATAATTATGGGTTGATGCCGAATAGTTTTTTTGCTGTGAATCATTCGTCAAACAAATTGTTCTCGTCCGAAAGTTTTAGAAATCAATTCGATTGCGGCGAATAGAGTAAAATAGTTCGAGTCTTAGAATTGGATTATGGGATGGAATTATCTGAATGGAAAAGAACGCGAATGAGTGAATGACAGAATTAAATTAAAGGTTAGAGGGAAGGAATGCAACTGTTAGTGTTTTAACCTTTCGTTTTAACGCCAGAACTTTTTTATCGAGATCAAATTTTTGTTGCCAAAACACGGTGTTTTAATCTAAGAAATATGCTGAGGAAGCTATTTTATGATTTTTACTTTTACTTTTCCATTTTTACTTTATGGTTGATATGGCGAAATATAAGGATTTTTCATAAAATATTTTTTCATCATTTTCATGATTTAGTGTTTTATTATTTTTTGAAATCTTTTTTATGATTTGCAATTCCCTAGATTTTGACATGAAATATTTGTGTAATTTTCGATGAATTAATAGAAATTTCTTTTTCTTGTCTCTTAATGCTATATTTATGATGCTTTTCTGACTCTGCAATAGTTCGATTCTTCTTCTTTAACAGCATGCGCCAATTCTAATTTGGCTTGCTGCACTGGCTACTGGAGTGGAGACCTGTCTACCGGGTAGTCACTTGCAGAAAGAAGTACAAGTGGCACAAGCTGAAATGATTTGATTATAAATAGCCTGGTCATATCTGCGACAATCTTGCCATCTTCGTTTCAATAATCCTGGAATTTTTCTGCTTAAAAATTTAAAATTAAAAAAATTTAAAAAAATTTTAAAAAATTTATTTTTTAATTATAAGATTGGAAATTGCTGAATCTTTGTTTCGATTTTATTTGTCCATTTTTAATTTTTTTTTGATGGATCAATATTAAATCATTTAGTTTTAGTCAAATGGTAAGATTCTCGTAGATCGTAGGTATATTCCAGGCTATATTTTTTCTGCCGATTTGGTTTTTCTATTTTTTTCGCAAAAAATTTTCCTCGCTAAGTGAACACTGATAAAGAGATATGAACAGATCATTCCTATATTCTTCCAAATCCTAAACTGAACTAATCTTATTTTATGATTGTAATTTCTAAACTATTATTTATAATATTTATATATTAATACATTATTATACATTATAGTTATATATAAAAATAATAATAAAAATAGTAAAAATAAATTTTTAAGAGCCCTCAACATTAGTGGTCAAGCTCGCTCCGCTAACTTATCGCGAAAATATCCCTCGGCGATGGGTGAGTCGACAGTATCACCTGGAAACTTGTGGTTTATGTTCATAAATCGCTATGTCATTCAGTATTTCCGCTTTTTTTAAAGATATTTTTCAAAAAAAATTACATTTTGAAGGATTAAAAATTGATTTACTTTGCTCATTTAGGTGATATAAAATTTTCCAAAAAATTATTTTATCTAATAAATAAATAAATATTTGAAAGTTTAAAATGAAAATAAATTAATTTTTGGTTTTTTTTCTCTTTATAATTAATAAGGCAAAATAGTTAAAAATATTATATTATAATTTCGTTTCTCGCAATTATTTCTTCGACTTTGCCTTTTTCAGCCTGAAAAACTACTTCAGTTCAATTTGTAAATATTAAGTAAATAATAAATATTGACATATATATTATGCAAAATTTTTCTACGCGGAATTTTTTTTAAATCTATTTTCTTAAAGGTTATATTTGATAATATTAAAAATCTCTACCAGTGGTTGTTTATGGATATATATCATCGGTTCGATAGTTGATCCTGAGATTTCTAGTTCTAATTTTATTTCGCCTTCCCATTCACATTCTAATGATAAATAAATGCGTTAATCATTGGCAATTGCATCATAAAATAAAGATTTGATCTATTAATTTTTGAAGTATCGAAAACATATCAATCGGCCTTACTGTTTCAAGCCGAATAATTGACAATGAAAAAATTATTTCTATTTTCCTTGAAATAAAAATTCATTTGGATATCGTCTTTTCAAACACTTCATGTTATAATTAATCTCATTGCCAAGTGGCAAAAATTTCCACTTTTATAATTTCTAACTTTTATCCTCGAGAATAAGAGGAAATTCTGAAGTAAAAATTTGGATTAAACCATATTTTTTATAAAATGATCCATGCCACCCAAAGACGGCGAGAAAGGGATTTTTTTTAATAATATATTCTGGTAAAATTGTCCCATCCTATTCTATCATATTCTATCCAATGTAGTGACCAGAAAGATCTGCTAACCGCATTTATTTTTTTGCTTATTTCAGATATTGTTCGTATTTTATTTTTGAATATTGTTTTCTAAATTGATAATATTAAAAATTCTTACTAGTGTTTGTATTCATGGATATACTATCGGTTCGATTCTTGATCCTGAAATTTCAAGTTCTAATTTTCGTTTCGTCCTCTCTATCGTTTTTGATGAGAAAAATTGTTACACTACAGTAGGTTTGAGTTCTAAATTTTGCAATTTATGGTTAAGTTAAATAGTAATAGTATTTTTTAAATAAAAAATTAAAAATTAAAAATGTAGATGAATAAATGCAAAATAACGTCAAATATTTGAAAATTTTTATCTATATTGTATTTATATTTATTTATATGTATGGCTCAGAGTAAAGAAATTTATCGATAAAGGAATTCCAAGTATGTTGAATAATCCAGTCAGCACCAATCTTCGTTTACGAATTTCTAAGGTGCTTAAAGTCGGTAAAATATGATTATTTTCTGTAGAAGCGAAAATGGAATCGCAATGGGCTTCAAGAACTGCCTCGGCCTCAAAGCTCAACGGTATGATGTTTCCTCATCTTCGATCTTCATTGTTCTTCATTCTTCGTTCTTCAGTGTTGGCGATGTTAAATGATCTGTCTTTTCCTATTCACATTTCCCCGCAGGCTTTTTCCTTATTTTCCCAGAAATTCATTTCCATTTTTTAACTCTTCGTTATAATCATTTTCTATGAGAACCGAATTAATTTTAATTTATATTCATTTTCACTGAAATTTAGTATATGATTTATTTTTTTTCGAATTCTTATTAAGAAAATTTTTTGATGGAAATATAGTCAATGAATGACAAGTGGTGCTTGGAATTTGTGATGAGGAGGGTTAGCAAAAGCCAACAAAGAGTGACCAAACCAAAAATTATAAGGAAAACTTCATGAATAAAAGTGCATCTGGTTGGAACGGCAATAATACTTTCATTATCGTTTTATTGTTCAATATTTATTTGTTATTTTAAGATTTTTTATAGAAAAACTTAAATCTACTGGTATTGAAGTGGAATTAAACATGAAAAATACGAAACATCGATTGTCAATCCGTTCATTCTGCAAAATTTTGATACTTTTTTCTCGTTCAAAATATATGCGAATGGCAAACATTACTTAACCAATTTCGAATCGTTAGGAAGCCACTCGAAAAGATAGCTCTTCTTCGTCTACTAATGGAGATTTAAAAAAAGAATTTTTCGATAAAAATGATACTTTTCTAATAATGAAGTGAATACGGTGCATAGCTGATCATTGCGTTCGGTTCTTCCATTAAGGAATGGTGATAACCTTTTTTTACCATCAAAAAAAGTATAATTTATGTTTTCGTGAATGTTTACATAATTCAGATATCAATCTCTTGTTTATTTTTTTAGTTCAGCGCATTTTTGTGGAATTAAAATTTATTTCGATTATTTTTTTATTATAATTTTTTTTATTATAATTTTTGTTCTTCAGAAATTTCATCGTTTTGAAAATGTGACAACATTAAAATCTAGTAAAATCTTTTCTCGGATACTCTTCTAGAGCTCTAATTTTCATTACTGTAATCCAGATAATTTCTTTCCAAATTTTATTCGGCTAATAGTAACCACAATTAACTCGAATTTTAATCAAAATTTCCTGATTATTTAATATTTTTTTATATTTTGCGTTGGTGTTGGTTTTTCTTTGTTTTTGTTGCCGTTCGAGCGAATAATTAAAGGCTATTTTTATATTTTTATACTATTTAAAAAGGTATTATTCTAGATATGAAAACAACATTATGGCAGTTTTACCAATTAATAAAGATATTTTATTGGCTGAAAAATTTGCGAATGTCGATTTAGAAGGTGGTACACTACTCGACGTTAAACGGGTAATTCTAGTTTATTCTATATTTTCTTGGTTTATTTCACTAAAAAAAAACGTGCAAAATCGCTAAAGTCCTCTTAAAGAGAATTATGTTATGTTTATTACAACTATTTTATACAATTAGTGGACATATTTCATCTAAAAGAATTTTAAAAAATCTAATTTTTCTAATTGTATTTTTAAATTTTTTCGTATGAGTTGAATTAATTTAATTAAATATTTAATAAATTTTACTGGATTAATTTTCATCGTTATAAAAATTTTTATTGTCGTTAAATCATCATGAATGTGGTCTTAAATAATTTGTTTTTTTTATTGCCCGGGTGATTCCATCGAATAATTTGAAATAAATAATTTTTTTTTAGGCGAGAAAGGGACTTGCACTTCGAATAATCCTAGAATTAATATCGTTTTTTAATTTGCTTCAGCTTTTGTCGTTTTTTCTTTGGTTCATATTTTTGTGGATTTATAGTTTATTTTGCTTGCTCCTGGCTTCGTTTGCGTTTCAAACATGGAATATGAGGATTTAGTTAATTGGCTTCATTTTTAAAATCATTTTGATTAAAAAATTCTTTTACCACCTCTTGTGGTTAGAGTCCTTCTCAGCCTCGAGTTCTCTAATCTGGAGCTTGAGAGTTCTTTGCAGTAATTAGCTTTTTTTTTGGCTACTTATAGTGCTTTCTTTCAGAGGAGAGATCTACCATGTTATATCTGGAATTGTTAAAGTTACTTTTCCAGCTAAGAGGTCCGAGTCCTTCTACCACCATTTGGGCTTAATTTGGCCTTCACCTTCCACACTTTTCACACTTTTCTCTATTCCTCTTTCAGCCCCTGGTATTTTTCTAGTTTTCTTCTTCTATTTCTTCTGTCACTTGCTTTCTATTACCAGTGCTGATTTCTAGAGTTGTGTGCACCATGTGTGGTTGTTGGTCGTCTCAAATACCAGTGCCTGTCTACTTTTTATAATAAGAGTATTGGAAATAGATTTCAGGTTTTTTAGCTTGTTGAATGCACTCTCGATTTCTTTTGGTTTATCTTCGGGCATAATTGAAATTTTGGAGGCTTCCTTTTCAATATATTTTTGGCCATATGTTTCTCAGTTAATGTGGATACACATCATATATCATTTCAAAAATTCACTTTGTTAGGTCAACTCTCATAATGATATTCAAAAAATTCCAGCTTATCTCGTCCTTTTTATATAAGATCCCATTAGCCCATTTAAAGCTGGATTATCATGCTTCCCTGGCAAAACTCCAGCAGCTCATTTAGTACAGTCCTGGTTTCTCGGTTTCATTTGATAGGATCTTATTAATCAGAGCAACATTAGTTGGAGACGGCCTTACTCCAGTATGCGAAATTCTCATGGCATTAAGATAGGAGCTTTCAATAACTAACTGCGACTGAAAAAGTTGACTCGAACTCTTTTACTCCCACTTTTTCATGCTAATCGACCACTGCACTATTTTTAATATATATATATATACATATATGTGAAAATTCCCTCTCTCATCCCCTGTTGATGATATATCATCTTTAATTTCGGATTCTCTACCAGAGAACCCTTGTTACATTTTGTATTAATAGCCCATCTCACTACGCTGTTTCGGCATTATTTATGTACATATAATAAAAATTATATTTATATAGGGATATAGGGATTTTTTTATAATATATGTTTATGTATACTTTCATATGTATTTTTTATAGTATGATGAGATCGATCAGACCGATGGTTGTCGAGTTCAGGTTACCGAATATCACATTCTTTCAGCCGATGGCCAAGAGGAATTGACAAAAACTTGTCGTCGTAAATTGATCATCGAATGTAATCAAAGTTCAAGAAGGACAGAAATTCGAAATGGTACTTTTCCATTCACTACATACTTATTAGATTAAATTTCATTGTAAAACAGCCTCGACCCTAAATAATTTTGTAGTCATTTTCTTTTATTTACTCTGTTTTATAGCATTTTATTGGTTTAGATTCGTTTTTTTCTATTTTTTGAATTTTTTTAAAATTAATTAATCTGAATTTCCAAGTAGAGCTGATAAGGATATCGAAATCATCGTAAATATGTAATGCAATTAAACCAGAGCGTATCAGTAAAATTTTCAAAATTGATGAAAAATAGCGCAAAATAGAGAACTGGAGACATCATTAATGCGCTGGATTTTTTCTTACAATTCCATGCTTAATAAAATAAAATAGAATTTTAAGTATTAAATTTAAAAAATGAAGATTCTTCGAACTTTGCATAAGTACTTATAAAATCTGCAAAAAATTTAGATATTCATAATTTTTTAATTATCAAATCTGAAGATAAAATACAAATCTGAAGAATTTTTTTTGAAAATTGAAGTTTTTATTGAAAAAAAATTTGATGGACTTTATTATCGTTTGAAAAGAGAATTCAGTGATGCATATTATGTATTTTACACCTTAAGAATAATGCCTTTTCCTTTCGCTTTTCCTCCAATGTTTTTTAATTTTTCTCAGCTCATTTGTCACGAATATTATTTATTTTTTCAATTGTTCAGAATTTTCAGAATTTAGAATTTTTCAGAATTAGAATTTTTTGAATTTTTTGGATTTTTTTTCAGAATTTTTCTTTCAAATCTCTTTTCCCTTTCACTTTCCTGAAAGGTAAAGGTTAATTTAAAAAATTAAAGGAAAGGTATGAAAATTTTTAAGTTCAAATGCATCTGGAAAAATGGATTTGTTTTTCGCTTTTATTGCATTAATTTCCCTTTCACTTATCATAATTTGAGATTTTTTCTTTTCGGCGAAACCAATTGAATTGAAAACATAAAGTTGCTTATGAGTACCAGGAATTCCAGTAGTTTATGATTTTTATGATTTTTAGATAGATTTTCCAATTTTTTGTCACAAAGCACTTTAATGCTGATTTGTTTGCCCTTTAATTTGGAACAGTTTTTTTGCTAAAATGAGAATGAGAATGTCTGGAAAAATGAGCTCAGAGTTTTATATCGTAATTAAATGTAAAATCATAACAATCAGTAAAACTGAAATTAAATGAAAGATCCATTATTTTTTCAGACGGTGAAGCAATTATCGAAGAAAAAACGGAGCATTTGGTCGGCGATATCAGCAGTCTTCAAACGACACCGTTTGCCATAAATCAAGAAATTGACTTTGCATCTTCTAAGGTTTTATCAAATTATCAAATTAGTTTAACTTTGCTGTTTAGTAGGTTATTGTTACCATTAAAATTTTAATGAAATATTATAACAAAATGTCGACATCCAGTTAGCCAGTTTGAATACAAATAGATGGTATTCAGTTCCTATAAGCAAGATTATTTGTGAATTATTTTTGCATTAGCTTCTAGTCAGAAAGACCATAAAAGATAGGGAATAGTTAAAGAACATACAGAAAAGGAACTTGCTTACTGGATTTTTGGCGTCGTCATCAGGTAATAAATTTAGAAAAGAAAAAAAACGAAAAATATACATGGAAGTAATTATGATTTTTATTGTGAATAATTCTTTTAAATTCTGATTTAATTAGTTTAGCATCCACCACCCTGGCTAGGCTTTCGCTAAAGATTGCTAGCATTTTGAATGAAAAAAAGATCCCTTCGATTTTCACATTTCGACCACACCACAACAAATTTTATAGGCACTGGAAAAAAAGAATAGGAAAGAGGCATTTCTATAGAAATTTTTTTGCAAATTTCCTATGATGCGTTAATAAATGAAATTTTGAAAATGATGATTAATGTTTTCGAAATAAAATTTTAATCTGCCTATCGGTTTAAAATATTCAAATTATAGGATGCTGGAATCAACGAAATGTTTTTGAAAACGCAGGAAAATTTTATGAAAATGTTGGAAGATCAGAAGACTCAGTTGGTGAAAATGTTTCCTGAGCTTTTTTCCGAAATGCGCACTCAATCTTCTTTAACATTTCCGACGACCGAAGTGGAGACATTTGTGAATCCAGATGGAAGCACCACGATGCGAACTCGTTCATCACGGGCATACAGGTTAGTTTTCAATGATTCGTTATTTCTGCACAATTAAATAGGTAATGAGATCGATACTTTGCGTAATGTACAACTGCAAGTTTCCTTATCCCTTTTTTTTAAGATGAATAACAGCTAATACATCTCAAATATTTTTTAAATAAGACTTTTCTTATTTTATACGGAATGGAATGTTGAAAATTCGTCTCAGTTTACAGTAATAGTTTTGCTACTAAGATAGCCAAGTGTTTATTATCTCGTCGAGCATCGTTTCGAGTCTTCCCTTCCCCGCCATGAATAAACCCAGGTGAAGATCCTCTTGTATCATACTAACAGCCTTAACCAGAAATGCTGAACGCTAACCACTTTTCAGTGCAATCAAGCTTATTTTTACAAATTTCAGTTTTTAAAAAGAAGGGAAAAAATTGTCACAAAAATGTGATAAGAGTTCTATTGAATTTTAATTGATTTTAGGCTTCCCCCTGTAATTCATGTTTTTATACAAGCGAACTTTCTCTCTTCATTAATTGCAACTCATATTTCCCTTCTCTCTATCATTCTGATTTTTATGTTAATTTTTAGTTCGCATTTTTCGAAACAAGAAACTTACATAAATGGTGTAAAACAGTCGACAAAAAGCAAATTCAGGGCTTTCATGGAATATAAAGGTAATAAAATAAAAAATTCATTACCATTTTCAATTTTAGTGTAGTTCCAACCATTGCTTACCTCTTTTGTTAATAGCAGCAGTCGCGAGAGATGCTAATCAGAAATGCTGTGCAGTTATCGCTTGTGTCAGTATCTCCTTGTGCATCTCTGAAATCTTTATCGTTCTGCTTTTTTTTACTATATTACCTTTAAACTTTTGTATAATGCTCGTTTCATATGTCGATGAAAAAGATTGCTGTGAACCCATCCTCTGTGGAAAGAATATAATATAGGGTGGGGTTTAATTAGTAGACGGTGAGTTCCGAGAATTTAAGGCAAAAAAGGTACATATATTTTTTTATCGAATTATATTGGGAATTGTGTCGGAACTTTTTTTTACAATCTTGGTAGAGCAATAAAGTATCAGAATTTTTTCCCTTTCCATAGAATTATTGTTTTAATATAACAATGGTTCTACAAAGTATTTTTCAGTAAAATGATGAAATTCTATTGTAAGTGCTTTTATTTTTACAATTTTCATTTAGGTCCAGAAGGTGGTTTTAAAGTCAAACTGACTGACAATCCTGATGGTGATCTTTCGGAGGATGAATCAGATGAGCTGAGCGATCAGAGTGAAGATGCACGCTCACAAATCTCTGAAGTACCTGAGAATCAGTCAGCGATGATTGCAACTGGCACTGTTGGACTTATACCTGTGTTAAAAGAGAAAATAAAGAAACGACAAGATAAGGCTTGGCATGCCGCAAAAGAACTTGTTGATTCTGAGAAACGTTATGTTGATAAGTTGCATTTATTAAGTGAGGTGAATTTGAATTTAAAACTGCCTTGTTCTCATCATATCGTTAACATTTTTATTTACCATTTATTTTAAATAGATGCGAAATTTTCTACAGGTTTTTCGCAATAAAATAGTGGAGGAGAAATTATTGGAGAAGGATAAATTATCGGGCCTATTCGCCAATATATCAAGCCTTTATCAGTTTCATAATACACATCTCTTGCCTGCTCTTTTGGAAAGTTGTCGAGAATGGCAGACTAGTCGAAAGTTGTTTTCTGGATCTTTACATAGGCTTAAGATTCATTGCCTTGAACTGAGTTCTTTACCAGATTCTCTTTTGCTCTAAAGGATTAGATATTTCTAACTAAATTATGAAATAATCTAGAGACAATTTCTCGATTGTATAAAAGTGAATATTCAGAATAGCTAGAATTTGTTTTTAAGATACAAAAATAATTGTCTTTTCGTTTTATCATTATTATCACTTATCATTCTGAGTCAGAGTATATAAACTGTGCTAGAAGCCTTGCTAACATGAAATTTTTTTCAGAATTAGTGGAGTCTTACGAAAAAGAGCACCCTTCTTGAAAATGTATTCGGAATATACAAATAACTATAAAAGAGCGACAAAAATATATGATGAATGTTATAAAAAAAAGCGTCGTTTCGCTCAAATAGTGCAAGAGATTGAGGTTTATTTATTTATTTATAAATTATTTCGTTGTTCACAGTAACTCTGATTTTGTGCTGAAAATTTGCTGTTTTTCAGAAAAAAAATTTTTTTAACTAAAAGGTAATTGATTTTGACCGATGTCGATAGTTTCTTAAATTTAGTGTTTTCCCTAACTCAATGCCATACTTCATGTTGGTTATGTAGAAAATATGCTTGAAAAATGCAAATACAGATTGTATCAATTATTTTTGAAAATTCATGATCATTGATAGTAATATTCAGAATTCAGCAAATTTATTTCGATCATTGACAGTCTTCTTGCAATTTATTTAAAAAAATAAAATTGGAAGTTTAAAAATAATCTTTACTGATACAACTTTAGGCTGATCCCGAATGCGAAAATCTTCCGTTGGTATCACATTTAATTTGTCCTGTACAGCGAGTAATGCGTTATCAATTGCTTTTACAGGTATTTCGAAAATTATAATAATTTTTAGATTTTCTATATTTTGCTAGAATTTATGTTCTTAAAAATTTCAAAATAATTTCTTCTACTAAATATTATTCACCTGTCGATGAAAAAATCTTGCATCTGTTCGTTCACTATTTGTTCCTTTCTACTTTTTGAAATTTTTTATTAACTTCAATAATTTGATAGTTGTTATGGAAGTCATTATTTCCTTTATTTTTAAGGAGTACAAGAAACACTTGAGCACTTCGGATGTTGATTATGAAGATACAAAAGCTGCATTGGAACTTGTACTTGATGCTGCTAGTCATGCTAATGAGATGATGCGCAAACTGGTAAATCTCAAATTTAACAGGCTCTCGATTTCTATTCCAGCTTTTTTAATATTAAACTGGTCTAAACAATGCATTTACTGGCTTTCAAGAGTGAAGTAAAATGAAAATCATAAAATAATTTAATCCACTTTAAATTTGCTGCAAAAGTAAATATTTGCATGAATTAAAAATATTATAGGACCGGCACAAAAATGTATTAGAAGTTCAAGAACAGCTCGGAAATTCGATATCTTTGGTGTCCCCTGGTCGCGAACTTATTAAAAAAGGCAAAATATCGAAAGTTTGTTCTTTATAAACGAATGCGATTTTTATATTTGCATGTGACATATAAAGCTCTATAGGCGGATGCATATATTTTCTTTCTGCAGGTGCTTTCACATTCGGATAAAACAGAAGAACGTTTCTTATTTCTCTTCAACGATTTGATTCTTTTGGCGTCTGAGCGAACCCTGCCTGGTTTTGGTAAATACAAAGTTCGAGCAATATTCGATGCTATACTTACTCAGATTTGTGAGGGGGATAATCTTGAGCGTGAACATTCATTTTATATCAGAGGAGCTGATTCTCAGGCTGGTCCTTCTAGGTTACGCTTTGAATGATTTTGTTTTATTGGTTTATCGAAAAAATTTCGGCAATTTTTTATATTTCTCGCTAAATAAATTATTTTTTGGTTTTTTTTCCATTTTTAGATGCGTAGAATTGATAGCACTGAATTCTAAAGAAAAATCTGACTGGATTGATACAATTTGGTATACGGTGAATGAATGTTTATCGAGGCGGAATTCGTTTAGTCCCAGTTTATCTGTAAGATTTAATTTAATATTGTAAATGAATGAATATTTTTATTAAATTAATGAATTCTTTCCTGGCAAGAGAAATCTGTCATTGAAAAGTTCGGGTGGTGCTGACTATTCATCTGCATTTCTATTTCCAGTTAACTCTTCGGTTAACCACGCAACTAGTAAATTCTGAAACTACTAGTAAATTCCTTTTTTTCTGATTTCTTCAGATTTTGGCAGTAAAATAATCATTTTAAAATGCGATAGTCATACAATAAATATTTAATATCTAATTTTTATTTTTGATGCAAATTTATAGCTTTTTTTCGTAATAACTAAAATTATTCTTGTTGCGAATTTGTCGAAATTTTTTTTTCCTTTTTTTTTAAAGACGATCAACATCAGAGCAACGAGATCGGAAAATCGAAACTGTGCAATGTGCGATGTGGAATTCTCGATTTTGTTTCGAGGAACGAATTGCTCGCGTTGCAAACAGCGATTCTGCAAAAAATGTCTTAATAAAACGAATGGAGACGAGAAGAATGGGCGAATTTGCAATAACTGTTGCCGCAACAACGTAATATTAATTTCTTTCTTAATAATGAGCGAAAATAAATGTGCATTCTGATATGCATGTGCATTCTAAAAATTACTGATTCTTAACCCCTTCCCTAGGGCATATATTCTCTTCTACGAAACAAAATTAATTAAACTGTTAATGATAAATTTCATGGAACTATTAGGAGCTGTTGAAATTATGTCTATGGAACTAAAAAATTCATCTGGGAAACCCCTTTTGACTGCAAAGAATGCACCAAATTTAGGTAAAAATATTGATTCATAAATGGATCGTTACCTTTAAGATTTCTTTGCTATATCTTTTTTGTCCATAAGAAAAAAAACTGAAAAAAATTTGGAAAAATGAAAAAATTAAAAAACAGTGAAAATAGGAAAAAGTTATATCTAATGCTATTTTCATTCATGACCCTTCGATATTCTAATGCAAAAAGTTTAAAAGTTCTATTAGGAACTGTCTAGAAAAAGTTCTGGTAATTCCGGAGTTGTTGCGAGTTAAGAACTGCGAAGTCCTCAGAATCTCAAAAAAATCGCATATTCGATTTTACAGAGTTCTTTTATAGAATTTTGGAGTGATAAAGGGAGATAAGCATGTAAAAAATCGAATTAATCCGTTGGCTATTGCTGCGAACGAAGGTGAAATTCTACATGCTAGCTATGTCAAGTTTAAAGGGTCGCTGAACAAAGTTTTCAGACGATATTTCGTCGTGCGCAAAGACTTTTGCCTTTATTCATATGACTGTGAAAATGTTAGTGTATTAATGCAATTTTTTCTGATAAATTAAGGCAAAATAATGAGATTTTTATGAGATTTATGAGTTTTTGGGTACTTTACAGATTAATGCAAATCCATATTCTTTATATTACTCTGACATATTCCAATGATATAAGGTTAACATAAAAATTTCGCTTGCAACAGGAAAGAACAGAAAAAGTTTCTAAGAGAATTCTGAAAGAATTATTATAGGATCGAAGAAATTTGACGAATATTGCTGGAATTTTAGAAATGAAATCTAAAAACATATGTCGATATATCATATTTTGATTTATTTTATTACTAATTTAAAATGAGACCGGTCGTTCCAATTTTGACATTTTAAAAAAATAATTAGATTATAGGCGAAATGTGCATTGTCCATGCTTCCGCTTCCTGGTTGTGAAGTAAAATTGAGCGGTGAAAAATTGACTTTTACAATAAAACATATGAGCAGGCAATATGTTGTTACAGTTGATACAGAACAAAATCAGATTCGATGGATGGCTGTTCTTGATTTAGCATCAAACGCTGTTCTTAGAGATAAGAAAAATCTTTAGTTGATTATCTTATCTTAAGTAAATGCTGGGCATATCAATCTGTTTTTCTTTTCTACTTTTTTTTTCTGTAATTAAAATGTACCGTAAAATGGGTCACGTTCTAAGTAAACAGCAATATTTTAATTATGTGGTAGATTCAAGTCAAAATTTGGGAAAACAGTTTTCAATTATTTATAAGTATCATCCGAAGGCTTTCATCAAATTCAAACCCTTTTTTGCACCTTAGATTTTTAATAACCCCTGCCCCTCCCCCATCCTTATCAGTATGACCAATTTCTACTCATTATAACCAATAAAATGTAAAAATTTGAAAAGATGTTTTTTCGAAACCAGCACAATTTATTTTCATAAAAATGATAATGGCTACCGCGATTTTTTGTACGAACTTAATATGTAAAATCTTGATGGATATTATAATGCTTTCTCATTTAATGTGAATAAAATTAGTGTGCGGGTAGATGCCAGTAAATTTGAAAAAAATTTATCAGAACCAGGAATCTTTCATTATTTTCTTCCTTATTAAGCTTAATTTTACCATTTATATAGTATATTTATATTTATATTTTTCTTCTTATTGCACTCATCGCTTAAGTAAAACTGTTAAACTGTATTAATTATTGAAAGAAAACAACAAAGCAGGAACTGCCGTACTGCAAGAATGGGTTAAAGATGTGTATCAAGAATGATTTTCACTGGTTTATTTTTAATAATTTCTGAGCCATTATTAGCCAGTTTTATAAATAGGTTTATTTTATAGGTGTATTTTTAATTCATCATCTTTACTATTACTTAAGTTTAAAGAAGGATCATAGATTATCGTATAGCCCAAGACCAAAAAATATCTGTTTATATATATATATATATATAGCATCTGTTTAATCTTGCGCGCAATCGACATTGACAACACAAAAACAACAGTACTTTTAAACTGCAGCCAAACCCTCTAACTTTCTAGTGGGGTCCTTGGTCAAGACCTTAATGCTTACCTGCCCTATCTCAATATAAGAGTGTCGAACTGGCTCGGATATAATCCGGATTAACAAAGTCCGCCTCAGAGGCTGAAGGCTGAGGAACCAGGGTTATCTGATGACAAGTGCCAATTGTTGTGGAACCATGGCAGTCTAATTTCAAAAGGACTACTGAAACTTTACATGGACGAGACAAGATCTGGAATTGATGGAATTCTACTATAATAGTAAATAGTCTAGTGTTAGACAAAGGGGTTATGAAATGTACGAAATGTAAGGAATTGTGGATGGAAAAAAAACCTAAATCTAAATTAACTGAAAAACAATCAAAGATTCTATATAAGAAAAAGGAAACTTTCTCAGATGGAGATTGATCAGTTCTGCCCTACATCTCAGACCCAGAATGTTCAGAAAAAAGAGGAAAGAAACGATGTGCACGCAACAATTTGGAAACTGGAAAAGGTGCCTTCCAATATCTTTGCTGCAAACCGACTACTGAGACTCAGCGATGCACCACATCATATTGGAAGATGCAAATAGAATTTTTGCAATTCCTTCCTTTTCAATTCCTATTGCCACTATAACAGAAATTAATGAACTAGTGTACGCCACAGCCACTGTAATTCTCGAAAAACTGGTATATAAAATCAAGAAAAATAAGAATTCAATTCACCCACTGAGGAGGCTGGAAAAGGAGTAAGGTGTAAAGAATAAAATATAGTATCCGAATGCTGGAAAGGATATATAAAGGCTATACTCTTTCAAAACACTGGCCATTAGGTACAGTAGAGAAGAGGAACAAATGCCCTAAAAAAGATAAATACCTAGTTATTAAATGTCCAAGGAACCATCCAAGATTCTCAACTTCAGTGCAATAATATGGTATCAGCCATCAATAGTAGAATTACTATGCTGGAAGAAAAAGAAGATTCATAACAGCAATGCAAAACAGCTGCAATATCAGAGAATAAATCACAGCAATCTCCCAGAGCAGGAACCAGTTATTACCACAGTTTCTGAAATCCAACAGCGAATCAAAAATATTGTTGGACAGCACCTGATCTGGACATGATTCATCTACTGGCTAAAAAAGCTAACAGCGGTTCATGAGCACATGCTCTTACCTAGACTGGTTAACACAGTGAATGCGGTGTTGATCATGGAAAAATCCTTATAATGGAATAACACCGTCCAACTGTCAACCAATAATCTGCCTAGCCACAATGTGGAAAATTTTGTCAATCATAACCATCAAGCTTCCTGACCATATGAGCCAGTATATGGATGTAGTTCAAAAAGGCATTGGGAACAACACACCAGAGGTTCCAAAAACCAGCTACTCATAGATAAGGCAGTCACTCTATACACAAAATATCGGCAGACCAATCTGTGTACAGTTTAGATTGACTATAGCCTATAATCCAATGGCCCACACATGGATCTATGAATGTCTGGCTCTATAAAACAGGACCCTAAATAGAAAAGAAAAAGAAAAGAAAAACTCGAAATCAACTCAAACAAGTGGCTATTAAGTGCGATTCCAAGGCGATGCATTGATATAGATACAAATTCAAGAGCTGGGCTAACTCAGCCATCTTCTCTACATGATCTAACAGTGATCTACGGCGAGGACAATTGTCATTCGGGTTAGAGAAATGTGGCCGTATGGTAGTAAAAAGAGGAAAAGTAGATGAATGATGGAGTGGACTTCCTATCAGTATATATATATGTATATATATATATATATTCAAGCCAGCTATGAATACCTTGGTATCCCAGAGTCATATGGCAATCATGATGAGATAAGGAAGATTGCGGCATTTAAGTAACATCAAAGAATAATACAAATCTTGAAGAGCCAACTCAATGGGAAAAAAAAAATTCATGTTACAAAGTATGCGCTGTTATAGGTACGCAGGTACGCAGCTGGCGTAGCAAAATGGATAAAGGAAAATATAGAGGATGCTGCTGATGTAAAGACCCCACAGGGAAATTTTCACTCCAACATCCTAAGGTTGTACATCGGCAGAAGGAAGTTGGATGGGGTTGGTAAGAAAGCCATTGTTCTGAATGAAACTCGAAGCATTCAACAATGGCACCAAAAGATGGGCTGCTGAGAGAATGTCTGAAATATGTATAAACACCGGAAAACGATCAAGGAGAAGAAACACCAAAGCAAAGTTTTTCATGGGTTATACCATCGACAGATAGCTGAGTTAGCTGACATTGTGGAATCCTACCAGTGGTTGAAGAAACCTGGAAAAATTAAAAAACAAAACACTGATTATTGCAGCATAAGATCAAGCACTAAACACCATATCCATCGAAACAATGGTCCACTATACTAGACAGGAATGCAATTGTGCAAAAATGTCGTAGAAACAATCCAACACATAGTGGGCAGAATGTAAAATGCAAGGAGGAACAAATACTGAAAAACATAACCAAGTAACTGGTATCATTCACAGGAATATCTGGTGGGCATATGCCTTAGACCCTCCCAAGACTAAATGAAAATCATAGAGAATAATAAGGCGAATATCCTATGGAACTTTTCTATCCAGACAGACAGACAAACAACTACTGGCCAATCAAGCAGATATCGTGGTAACAGACAAAAATCAAAAATCAGCACTGGTAATTGATATATACCAAGCGATGAAAAGATTGAATATGAGAAATTAGAGAAATGCCAGGGGCTGAAAGAGGAACTGAAGATGTGGAAAATAAAAGCCAAAGTAATTCCAGTGATAACTGAGTGATACATTTAAAACTGTGAATTTTAAGCTAGAACCCTCAATCTCCCAGGCCTCTGGTAAAGATTTTATAAAAAATAGTTTTATAATTCATCTTCATAATTTTTTAATTTATGGCTTTAAGTAAGAAAGTACTAAAAATAAAGAGACCTACAGCGAAGAGTTCTCTGATTTGCTGTTATATTTTAAGAAAACTAGAATGAATATTCAAAACGGAGTTGCTCAGCCGTCTCGATTTTGATTTTTATTAAAATTATTCGTTATAAATGATGCTAAATTTCAAACAAGCTTTGCATCAAATATCGAATCAAGCATTACTATTTTATAATACAAGCAAAAAACACCTGGGAAATAAAATTTTTTTTAAATCTTATAAATAGTTGTGTATAAAAATTAAATTGAAATTGAGATTGAACAGTAAATTAATAAACAATAACGGACTCCCGAAAATATCAACTGATATAGAAAAAATATAATCTTAGCAATCACACAATCTTAGCCCATGGCTCATCATCAAAAGCATGACGAACATTGAGATAACCAGCACTTATTGGATCATGGAGTTTTGGTTGTAATGTTACACCAGGAAAACAAGCTGTAAAAAGTAGGCATGACTGTCGCTGTAACGAAGAATCCATTCTGAAAATTGTGAAAAAATCTGCTGAAAAAAATTAAAAAACTGGTTCACAATTCGAAAATCAATTTCGCTTTTTAAATCAAATATAAATCATTTTAATGAATTTGGCCTATCCAAACTGTAGACTTAATGGATCCAATTGTTTCATAATCTTTATCAAAATAAAAAAAGAAATATTTTGCATTTTTGATTCATTCACCTAAGATTCACAATGCCTTGAAGTTAGTTAAAGTTAACTTTCTAAGTAATTTCAATGAAAATCTCCGATAATTTTGTGTTTAAGTGGCCCTTTAATGATTGCTAAGAGTTATTAAAAATTATTAAGATTTATGAAAAAAATAAAAAATGTTTAAGGTTAACAAGATAACACGAGCCTTTTAATTTCTAATTTTTTGGACTACTCTTACGAAATAGCTCATCCTAAGATCAGATTTGATTTAAATTTTTTTAAAAACAAATTTTGTTTTATTAAATATTAAAGACCTTACTATCCTTTATGAAAGAACAATTATTTAAATTTCACCTGCTTAGAATTTCGCCCCTAGCTTCATGTGCATATTGTATATGTTTAATAATCTCTGTTCTATCGACAGCATTCACTGGACATTGACAACATTGATATGGCACAATGTGTAAATGTTGTTTGACATGCTTGTATAGAATTTCGTAAGTATTCAAGCAACTTTCTTCACAGAATATACAAGATCGACGATCCGATTCCAAATGCGTTGGTTGCGAAGTTTTTCGAAATAATTCTATGGTCATTTGAAATGATAAGCCAGGACTTGGCGCTTTTGGAAATGATTGGCATATATCTTCGTTTAATGATTGCATCGTTCGTTCAGTATTTGAATCACTTTTCTGAAATGATTTTTGATTATTTTTCAAGTTATAAATCTAGTTTAAGGACTTTCATGGTGCTTAATCATAGTATTCATAGTAATCATAGTAATCATAGTTTATAACGGTTAATAATAATTTGATAATAATATAATAAAATAATAATTTAATTTACTTCAATCGATTTCTTTGGTTTTTGAAGTAGGTGAGTGAGTACTGAAAATGCCTTGTTAGTTTGCGAAAATGAGGCAGCATCCACATTCGGTTTAGTTTTGCCGGTCTTCCCATCATTAATTCCTTCAAATCCTTCTCCAAATTCATTTTTACATATCGTCCTCGACATATTTCGCCTTGGAGACATTTGAAATGAAGGACCAAAGCAAAGATTTGATATCTAAATTGTTTAAGTAAATTAGTAAGTTTTTATAGTGAAATTAATTTTTTTAGAAGTTCAGCAATCTTATCAATCGTTGAATCGCAAAGTGCACAGATTATATAAATAAAATCATTCATAGTGAGGGATCCATCAATAGAGTAAATAATAAATACTGTGATAAAGCCAATTACTAACTGACATCGAAATTAGCTAGCTAGTCTCACTGCTAACCAACTAAATCAAGGGCGATTCAAAATGCCTAACCGCGCGAAATTCTTCATAAAACACAGCGTCCTCCTCAATCAAATCTACCGGAATGTTTGAATTTTCATGGACTGCTTCCATATGCCGTAGCAATAAATACTTTGAAAAATGTGCCACTTCACATGTCGTTTCATGACAACTGAACGTACCATTTATTAATTCAAAAGATAAAATTACATAAATTTTGATGAATTTTAAGTGATTAGGTGAGCAATTGCTATGTTTTTGCTATTATTTATTATCATCGTACACTACATTATTTCACGTTTTTAAGGTGTTCCTTTCACTTATAACTATAAGGTAATGGTAATATGCCAGTGTGCTTGAATGCTTGGCTTGAACAAGTCAAAAGAAGTGCAGCATAATACCGATAAGATGGCTTTGATAGATGAGCACGAATGTGTTCCTCCATAGCGAATTTAGAACTAATTGTGGGTGTTTTGCAGATCTAAATAATCAAAATTTATCATTTATTTTTTAGTGATTTTAAAAGAAACGAACGACTATGTCGAGTTTTTTTGAAAATTTGAAGTCCTTTTTCCTTTTCTTTTAATTTTAACGGCAGTATTATAGTAAATTATAAAAATTACTAGAGAAATTCGAATATTGAAAAAAAAACCAGAAAGAAATCAAATGGAATTTTCAGAATCTTTGAGGACTGAGGAAAAAAAGATTTTGGAAGAAAGAAAATAACAACGATATTCGAAATGATTTAATTTAATTTTAACCTGACAGGCAATTTTTTTAACTGATTTTATTCCAGCGTTGGAAAAAATTTCTTTCTTCACTGAGGTTTTCTTGGAAAAATTTCGTTCGTTTTTCATTTTGATTTTGGGTCGAACCTTTAATAGCGAAGGCTAAAATGCATAGTAGTCCTTTTACAACAATTTTGGTTAAAATATTTGGACTGTTATCGAATTTTTTGCAAGGTTTTTTAAAATTTAGTTTTACTTTTTCATAATAACATTGATAAATATTTTTTTTTCCATCTTTGCTAAAAAAATTATGAAAAATGGGAAGATTTAATAGCGAGCAATTCTACTTTATTTCTCTAAAAATTTGACAAACCTGAATAGCCTTTGATATAGCGGCAATACGATTACGATCTAAAAGGTGTGTGTCAGGCTTGCAAATCGCTAAATTCCATTTTCCTTTAGCGTCGAACTCGTTTGTTTCATCAATATTTGTGATTATTTGTGGGAAACCGCCCATTTGCTCCAAAGAATTTAGCCTCGAGATTTTCTGTTTCATTGAATCATTTTTTGTGGTATTCGTAATTTGCTGTGGTAATTCATTTTCGTTTTTGGTTTGCGCTTTTCGCAAAATTTCTTTCGTATGCTCCATGCTTTTTTCAGCGACATCCCATGCACTAATATAATATACAATATAAACCATAAAATTAAATATTTAATATTTATATATTTTTCATATAAGCAAATATGCAAGCAAGCAAGAATAATAAGAAGAACTGAATGAAGATATGAGACGTTTAACACCATCGTTTGCACATCGCTTTACAGGAATTTGTAAAAATAGCTTCAATAGACATTCTATCGAAAATTTATTGAAAATTTTAGCGATAATTTTACGTTGAAATAGGTAATATAATAGAAGATTCTAAGAATTTTTAGCGCTTAACTTATTATTTTAATTTTTTTATCTATTTTTATGATTTCATGATTAGTCGCTCTTTTGATTTTTTATTTCGAACAGCCAGTAAAGCGCTCCTAACCTCAAATAATTACCACATTTATTTGCTCACCAATTCATACACGATTTCTTAGGGGCAAAAATATACGCGCGTCTCCCGGACTTCATTTTTAATGGCAAAATTCATTTTAAGGGCCAAGAAACCGAAAAAGTAAACAGATATTAATAGGTAAAAAAAGCACCAAAAGTTCCGGAAATTATTTTTGAAGTTCGTTTGGAACAAAGGCGCTTAAAATCACAATTAGCCCAATTAACTGATATCTGATATCTGATGAAAACCGATATATGCTGAATATGAAGAAATCACGAAAAACTATTGCGAAGTTCAAAAAATCTTTCACAAAAAATCTTTTCTACTGTTGAAACAATTTGTAGGAAGATTATTCTAAAAATTATTTAAAAATTGCCCATGAAAATAGTTTTGAAATCTTCTCTGCTGATTACTTTCAGTTTACATTATAAAAAAAGTTTAAATATGAGTTAAATGCTCAAAAATTGAATTAACTCTGTTTTTTCCTCAATTTCGAAATTAATCATAAAGGAAACATGGATGTTTTAAACTTTTATATTCACATTTATAGATTAAAAATAGTTAAACAAAAAATTGTTGGTTGCATTACTTTAAATAAATAAACATACTGAAGTTCAAGTTCACTGTCAGGTTCAAATAATACTTCGCCCTTGCCTTTATGTATTTTGGCGATGTGTAATGAAATGAAGATTTCTTTCCGATTATCATAACCACAGATGCTGCAGCGATAAGGCCGATATTGCAAATGTGATTCGACATGAGTCAACCTGCAGTATTTCAAAAAACTACTTTGTCGCCAAATATAGAACAATGATATTAGTTTATATGACATTATATATAAAATAGTTTATATGAAATTATATATATAAATTATATAATTTTATATGATATTATACACATTATATATGGCATTATATTATCTAAATTAGAAAAAAAAATCTTTTGAGGCCACTTTGACTCATGTTTAGTTTGAAAAATTGACCTATTTCTTGAGCAAACCCATTCATTACATAAAACGCAATGTATGGTGGGGTAGTATGCAATATCGTTATGTTTTGATAACTTTGGCATTGCCAAACTTTCGAAAATTTTATGGCTTTCTTCTGAGGTCACTTCTGAAATAATAAGCAGGATTTCTTTTGCATTTTAATTGCTGAAATGCCTTTATTCATTTTATATATTTAAAAGCAAGCAAGGTTAAGAATAAGATTAGTATGCACTATGATTTATGCTAATTTCAAATTTTTTTAAGAGTCCTCAGCATTACTGGTTAAACTCGCTCTACTGGCTTGTGCAATTGGGCAATATGTCAGGGAGTATACCTTGGCGATAAAAAAAATTTGAGCCGCCATCATCACCCGAATTTTTGGATAGGTTGGATTTGCTCCTACAAAGAATCGAACCTCAGCATCGATGCTCTCAATTGAACAACAACCCACTGAGCCATTCTATCCCCTAGCTAATTTCAACTAATAGATCTTATCCTTCAAACTGAGTTAAATTTTTTTCAGTCAGCGAATTTTTAAAAAATCGAAATTATAAATTGATGTGGACTTATAAGCATAATGAGGATTAAACTTCAAATGATTTAAGAAGAATAAGATCGAATGTTAACTTTTAATTAACTTATCAGACATAAAATAGTTGGGGTAATATTGTTATATAGTTCGGATGATAGCAAATATTGCATTCTGATTTGTACCCTATGTTAGGTCAAAAGTATAGCAAAGCTTCTGCTCCTTTAACTTCTCAAATCTCTCTTAAACAAACTGATTTATACTGATTTCAAATATAATTTTATTCGGTTAGCGTCATTTAAAAACTTCTTGCAAAATAATTTAACCTTTCGATCTTATACGTTCATCAGCTGATTTTTGGCAAAATAGTTCTGAATTTGACGAAGAGTGACGTTCGAACAAAACACGTTTTCGCTTTCGAACACGTTGACTGCTAGTTGAATGATAGTGTCTTCCATGTATATTATTAATTTGCTTTGACTTGATAAATTCATTTGTTGCTCGATGTTGTGAAACACTGAATACTGGAATCTTATTATGTGTTTCGCCAGCAGTGGAGAGAAATTTCTTTAAAATAATTTTATTAGCCTCAGGCGTAGATTTCTTTGCGCTAAGTAGATCACGTAGAATATTGGTCGGCCTTGGATTCTCTGCATCGATGGGAAATTCACGAAAATTTGTTGGTGATTGACGATTTTGAGTACTAATATCAGGATTTAGTTTTTTAAAAATATTCCATTCAGTTCCATTATTATTCTTATCCGAATCTGGGCGAAGAAGTTCGCTCAGCATTGGATGATTTATTTACTTTTCACCAAAACATTCCATTTATTTCCTATCATAATCAAGAAGTGAAAATAAAACAGAGGCTTTGATCCGAAGCGTTTGATCAGAAAATAGACGATAAAAGGTAAAATGGAAAAACAACAAAATATACAAGGACGCTGACAAAACGATAAATGAAAAGGCGTGGATTAATAGGAATGTCGCGAATGTTATAACTGTGGCGATCTATAAACATTTCAGCTGAATTCGATCGCTTGACGAGCATGTATGAGATCAAAGAGGGATTCTACAGCAGATTATGCGCATGCATAAGCAAACAACTAAACTTGCTATTCCTCTTGGAATTATGGATTTCGACATGTATATATAGGCTATTTATTTTATTAAAAATCAACTGATCGAAATTCATGCAGAAACAATTATCAACAAGGCAAAACCTTTGCAGTAAAAAAAAAGAAAAAGTAATCAATCTTCAATAAAACTAAAATAACTTTCACTACATCTTTACGATGTGATTAAAAGTAAATAGATAAACAAGTAAACAGGACACTGTGGGATCCACACATACTTCTATTTCCAAAAGATTCTCTCGTTTTTACGAGGGACCGGGTCCAGTGGAGCATGTGAAGTCAGCTAAGTCAGACATTTAATTTCAATGAATTTCGTGTAAAGAAAAGAAAGAATTTGATAAATTTGGCTTGAATTTTTAGAATAAATTTGGAAAAAAACGGTAGATGAGGGAAAGTTATTAAAGTTATTATCTCAAATATATACAAAAACAATTCAAAATAAAAAAATCTTCAAAAATCAGCAGTTATCATCCCAAATCACTCGAAAAATAAATGATTTAGAAAGATCAGAAAAAAATGGCCAAAAATAAAAAACACTGAATATTTAAAGAAAAAAATTCGCCAAAAAATGTTGAAATTGGCCAAAAGATAAAATGGTAAAAAAAACCTATTAACCGTTTCATTCAAATTGTTCCATGAATAAAGTTTTATTTTATTTTGATAGAACAATTTAATTATTTCATTTATTTCAATCTCATCTTTTTATAAAATAAATCTTTTGAAGTAAATTTCAGGATTTAGAAGGGCAAAATAATTAAATTAAACGATAACTTAGAGCACAAAAAATAATTAGTCAAAAGTTTATTATATCAATGTAATTTTATCAAGAAAAAAAATCCTGAAATAATTCAGCTTAATTTCAGTTCATTTTAATAGAATTTATTTTATTTAATAGATTTATTTTGCGCCTTTGTTTATTGTAAATAATTTTTACAATAAAAATTCTGCAAATATACTTTTAAAAAATATTATTTAATATGAAAATTAGTAAAAGTTCAAACGAATTTCAAGAGCAAAAAAATTTTTTGAATATAGAATTATAAAGATGATGAAAGTGAAGCAATAAAGTAACAAAACGAAACGGAAATTACGGAAATTGGAAACAGATAAAGAAAACATTAGTGAAGATAAAACGGTCATTATAATGACATCGAAATAATTCGCGTTATTTTTACAAAACTAGACAACTGTTATCACCGCCATTATCATCATCATTGATAGAACTGCAGCATGAAGAAGAAAAATTGAAGAGGATACAAATAGAAGCGAAATGATAAAGGGCAGCGGGTCAGGGCAGCGGACATCACTTCAGAACAGAGATAATACTCAAATCAGGTCAGTGGGTTATCGCAATCAAAATGACCAACACTATAGGGCAAAATACCATTACACTAATACATTGTCTATTCGTTAAGTGTCAAAAAAAATAAAATAATAAATAGGAGTCGAGACGAAAACAAACGCTTTACGACCTAATTTATGAAGGAATCACCCAAAAAAGGTGACACGAGTCGCAAAAACAATAAACTTTTCCAATTTACAATTTATTTTAACGAATTGCTGTCAATCGAACCAAACAGGAGAAAACGAGAAATGAAAAGAGAAAACTCTTCTATGAAAATTTCACTAAGGAACACCTCGGCATCACCTTTATAACATTTTCATTTTAAATAATAGTTTTGAAAATATTACTTCGCTGATTAAGTGAGCAAATAAGTGGCTAGCTCTATAGATAGTTGGCGACAGATGTATAAATGGATAACCAGCTTCACGAGAATTTTTCGACGATCGCTTGCCTCTCAATATAATATTCTGAACCATCAACCAGTCGGCCCTTCAATAAGTAAATAAGTAATAATTTTAAGTAAATAGTAAATAAAGTCTTTACCTTGAAGTCTTTACAATTTTTTCTCAAATAAAGTAAAAAAAAAGCAGGTGTAACAACTGAAATTTAAAGTTGGCTTGCAGTAGATGAAATAATAATTGATAATAATTGATATATATGCATTCAGATAGTGGTGAAGATACATTTCTTCTATCCTTAGGTTAGTCTAGAAATCTGCTGAGTTAGCCAAACCAGAAATAATTTACTTATTATAATTATGATTTATGAAATATTATTCATTTAGTTTTTTTCGACACATAAAATCATTTTGTGGAAATATTCGCTGAATGAATATCAAAAAATATAATTGAACGGTGTGGAAAACGAATTTTCTTGTATATGAAATCCCATTAGCGAAATTCTTTCAAGATTCGAACTTCTTTTATAAACTTAATTAATTAATTGGTCCTCAGAAAATGTGCCATTTAATTTTCCAGTTTCCCTACTTGAAATTGAATAAATCATCCAAATCGAATAGACGCCCATTAATCGTCATTCACTGTGGATTTATGTGGTTCAATGAAATTAAGTTTAATGTTGATCTTAGGGATTACAAGGATTAGGATGACTAGAAGTTATTCTCACCAGAAGCCATTCTAGGAAAGACTTCCGCACTATGAAAGAAAAAATATTATAAATATTTTACAGTATTCTTTTATAAAGTTCGTTAAAATAATGCTGAATATCCGAACAATTTATTTTTTATATTTATATTTATATTTATGAGTTGCATTGTGATAATTCTTAGAATTGCATAAAGTTTGAAAATAATCTCACAATAACCGTCCTTCGTTCTGAACCTATGAGACGAGAGGTGGTTACTGGTCTATATTACAGTGCTGAAAGATAAGAATTCAGCCACTGCCGAAGTAAATTACTAAGCGGTATTATCGATCCACCTTCACTACCAACGTCAAATGGCTCGTTACCAAAAATTCCAAACCGCAACCAATAGACAACCAGTAGAACTAGTTAAAAAAATAATGGTCGCGAACCACTTATTTAGAATATATGAAGCTAACTGCTAAAAAAAATTCCCTCATCGATATCTCCAATAACTCCTAGCAAAAATTTCAACTGAGCTCAGTCCTGGAATATCAAAACTTATGGACTTTCTTATCTCTTTTTTCGGCTTTTCCTATGAATTCGAAAAATCAATCATAGGATTTTTCATTCATTCAGATGTATCTCATCTCTGTCAAAAATATCATTATCATAAAATAATCATAGAAATAATCATACATATTTTTACAATTTTTAGTTACATGCACAGCGATATTTTATGATTGTCTTAATTACAAAATTTGGTTATTTGGTACAAATTGAACAAATAGACCGATGATGCCTTTGTAAAAATAGTTTTTTTGTTTTTTAAACTCACCCCATCTCGTTTTGTTGCCTGCGTTTGGCTGACTATTAGGAAGATATCGATGATAACTTAAGAATAGCAGGGTCCACTGGCCGGATGTTGAAAAATAGTGCGTTGAATTGAGTGTTATCGACAACAAAACATTTTTTTTCTTTTTTCTTCTATAAATACTTAAAAATTTGAAATTTGTTAATAATATTTACATTTTCCTTTAATTTTCCCTCACATTCCTTATCTTTTATTTTAAAAACGAAAATGACGAAAAACTTGCGTGATTTCACCTCGAACAAATAATAAAATTAGGATATTCAAAAATTGTTTTCAGTGGATATAAGGTGTTTTATCACTTCATTAAACAAAAATTGACGATTAAACTCCACTCCAATGATGCTTTGAATGAAATTTGAATAATTAAATCAAATTCCACATCCCAAATTAACTTTGCAGAAACCACGCTTAAAAACCACTCCTTTTTCCATCGTTCTAAGTCCACATACTGCTGACACACCTATACGTTCAAAATCTTGCCTCAACATATCAATCTAGGTCTTGATTGGCCTACTTCGCTTTTGACGCCACCGGGTTTTGCAAATAACGAAATATGAGTCATGAGATTTTAACAGCTCGGTGGACCGGTAAAATGTATCTTAAATTTGAGTGGTCCAAAGCAGAGAGCTTCTTAATATTCTCCACTCTCATTGGTCACATCCGGCAGCCATATAGTAAGATAGAGCGAATCGCGGCTATATAGACGGGACTTTCGTTTTTATGGGTGATTTCGCGACAGCTCCATAAAGATTTCGTTAACCGGAAGAACGCATTTCTAATGCCGTTATCCAGGTTGTAACTTCGTCTCTTGCCTAGCGTTTATATTCAGTGTTAAAGTAGATCCAATGTATTTATAATAGGGCATTTCCTCAACCAAAGAATTGATAAAAATAGGTATTTTTTCAGGTTCTTGTATATAAGAAGCCTTTAGTTTTATTTACATTGACCCTGAATCCGATTTTCGATGCAATTGTTAATGTGTTCAGCATTATTTGTCGGAAACAACCGAAGGGAAGAAATAAAATAATCGTAATACGGTAAAGCTTCATAAAGCTCTTTAAAATTCAAAAAAAAGAAAAAAACAAGATTTTAACAAAGATTTTAACTTTCCACATCACAAGCATTCAACAATATGCAAATCGCACAAAATTGTTTTTCTTCTTTCTTTATTCACGCATCTGTTAGCTATTTTGTAAAGCCATCTTATTTGCATATCAAAAAAAAGAAAACCATGAAAATTTTCTTTTGAATAAAAATAAATTATGTTATAAATTATTTTTATGTAATTTTTAACTAATGTTTTGGAAGAACCACCCAGATTGGCAAAGGATAACCTATCAATGTTGGACTGGCA